AAATAGAATTCTCTTTCAGGAACGCATGGGTTCCCCTCTAACTAACAGAGTCTCATGGAGCAAGATTTACGACAATAAAGATGCACTGCCCAGCAATTACTCACCATACTAAACTGCTCTAGCTGGATGCTGAAGATGCATATAGTCTGCAGCTGTTTGCTGCGGGTTAAGAAAGTAAGCCGTCACCATAGCGCGTTCCATGTGGCGGAACCCACTGGCGAAGCCTCCAAAGCTTGGCGACGGTGGGGAAGCGGCGACTGTGCGCTCCGGAGCTGGTGCAGTTTCTGAAACTGTGTGAGTCCTGTATTGCCCATAGAACGTCTGAAAACAACATCAGGATTAGTCGCGGTGCATTACCGCTACCCTATAGAAATACAGATATGTATTCTCTCTAATAGTTCCTGGCTAGTAGCTTAGTTTCACATCCAATTCACAGTAATGTTTGCAATATGCCACAAAGTGACAGTGCTATTTGACTGTCTGTGACAAGTGCTATCTAACTGTCTGTGACAGTGCGTGCGAACAAGAAGAGGGGATTGGAAAGTCAACAGTTTGATTCGTTTAGCCAAGTTCAGAAATAACAACAAAAAGTGCCTTCCCAGGAATCTTCAAATACAGATGCCTCTTTGCCACATGAGTGGGCGGGAACTACATTTCATTGCGTGCCTTTAATAAAGTCATAACAAAGATATGCGGTCACCAATGAAAACAAAAAACGTTTGCCACTCGGCCCTTCAAGACCATTTCTTCCAAAAATGTCAGAAATCCTGTCCTTGCCCAACTCCTTTTGACATGTTCTCTTAGTTTTGCAGGTGACGGCCTTCTCTCACTTGACTCTGATACCGAAATACAAGGTGCATAGCGTCATGCCCAATTCTATTGTTGCCACATTCTCGCCATTCCCTCAATGATGCATCGATTACATTCAGATTAAGACGAGAATATTCCCTCTTCCTTCACACCGTGTACCTTTAACATTTGACCAGATTCAACCTTCCAGCTTGTTCATTTCGATTGCCCATATACGTCCCGAATTTCAGATAGGCATAGTCAAGCGGTTGAAGGATTTATGCCCACATCGTGGACAGACCAACTCACGTACACACAAGCTGCAAACCGACTGTGATCAGACAATCCTAAAAATAGCCTCATTGCTTTATAATAATAGCACATTCAATAGAGCATAAGATACGATTAAGTTTAAGCTGGTCTTTGCGCTTCGCTACGTAACACGTGAAATGTGTGTAAGCACCAAAATTATACAAAAAAAATTAGAGCACAGGAGAAGATGTTGTATACTACCGGTAGTTAGGGCTAGCGAGGAGTCAGGGACTCGTGCGGTACACTTGTGCGGTAGCTGGGACTCTGTGGGCTCTGTGGGCGGCCAGGCTCTGTGGCAACACTCTGGGACTGCTGTGCCGGGTCTTGAACTGTGGTGACTGCTGCCCTATACGGTGACGTTTGCGTTTCGGGAGCCAGCCCCGACTGGTTAGCCACTACGCTGTTGTACCTTTGTCACCGCCGAATCATGCTGGTCAGTCTCGATCCCTGTCCCAAGATACAAATCGATAGATGGCAAGTAATTACTAATTCGAGTTCAGCTAAATACAGAATCCTTGATAAGAACTTGGAATTTTCATTCCTAACATCCATGACCGTCATGCGATTAATCAACACAGTGATACAACAATAACGAATGAATCGCATAGTACACATAATTAACATGATTACGCATAATTGGCCATCGCATACTCAACAGAAACAGCAATAGCGGGGCAGGACAAGCTACACAAAAAATTAAGAGGCAACAAGTGAAATCCTTATCGCTAAAACAGTAGGGTGTAGCCACACTGGTGCACTGGATGCCATTGTGGGCTTCCAAGTGGTGTGACTGGCTCTGGCTGCTGGTTGCCGCCTGAGGGGCGGGTGCTGAAATAGCAGGGACTAATGTTAGCTGGAACCTGGCTGGCGGCGTCGCGCCGTCGCCGGCTCTGCTGTTCGTTGGTGCTGTGGCCGACACTAGCTGCAGGTCCTTGGTTGAGAGACTTCGTGGACATTGGTTATTTGCTTGGTGTTACTCCTCCGCGGGTCGAGGGTTCTAAGTGGTGACGGAAAGTGAGGTTGCTAGATTCTGGTAGGGAGCCTGTATTGCTGTGATCGCGTATGCTTAGCTTGACACAGTCACTTATCTCCGAGGGATGTATGCTGTTAGTAAATTGAGAAGCTAATCGTGCTAAAAGATATACAAGATTACACCAGCACACTGCATGCAAACTAGCAATGCTTCTTTCAGTACTTTGCAATATTACACTGAAGCATAATTATTGATGCACCGTGTGATGCGGAACCTGTGTGTATATGACGTGTAGTGTGTTGTGCCGCTGCTCGCTGTGGGATTGTGAAGACATGCAAAACGAGAGTAGAACTTACCTGAATGCCGAGCACTTCTGATTCATCGCCAGAGACTTGCTGCTTGCTGCGGAGATTCAACATGTGGGTTGTGCTAAAATAAGTAAACTTGTGCATAATGCATTACAGTAGGTGGGCATCTTTTTGAATGTTCACGAAAGTATGCCAGGCAACAAAGGGAATGATGTACCTCTGTTAGAATATTAAGATTATTGAAATGAATCTATAAATATTTAGAACTCCATAACCTAATGACCATTAATTAAATTGATTTCTCGCCATAATAAAATATGCCCAATGGTGTACATGGATGGGTATTCATAAGCCAATTTTCTATGCCCTATAACTGCATAAATTTCTATAGTGTTTTTTCAAGTTCGTGCTAATCAAGTAATACTATCGCTGCTGAGGTGAGACTATATTTCGCATTTTTTTCAGATTGAGCATTTGGCTGCCGCAAGAATTTGCGAAATAATAAAGCTTACGTAATTATTACGAGAATTTCCAGTGTTTCCACTTTCATGATACCTACCGTTATTGCTTGAGTAACAGCAATCTTCTAGAGTAACAATAAAATGTTTAGAACCTTTGTATTCACCAAAACATGCAATTTTCGAACTAGTTTGGTATAACCAACTGTTTGCTGTTAATATTTGAAACTAGAGCCGGTAGCTAGTTGCGACTCTAACTAGTAGCGGCACCACCTATGCTGCCATAGACATTACAGTCTCTTCAAAATGCAGTCTGGTTCAATTAGATCGACCGACAATTTACAAGTTTACCAATTCTGCCATATCGCGACACGATAAAATCCAGTTGATGTAAACGACGTGTTCATATCAATTTTCTATGTTATAACTGCTTTAAATCTTACGGTATTTTATGCTGGTTAATCAGGGATTATCCGCCTCTGAAGTGAGACTATATTGGCAAAAAATTTTTGCGTTTGAGAGTTTCCTGAGCAAACTCCTCAACAATATCACTTTAACACTGGCCAATACTAAGGGCACGTTTTGCTTTGCGACCTAATCATCTGATCGAGATCATGTGACCTGATCCGTACCAAACAAACGCAAAACTCAATTTCACCCGGTTCACGTTTCGCTGAGTGACCTTATCACACGATGGTTCATAAGCAAAGAACAAGCTGCTGATATAGCGGGCCGCCATATTGGTTCCGTTCGAATCCAACCTCGCTAGATGGTCGCGTTCAGGGATGAGATCAAGTGATCCAGACAAAAAACAGTCAGATCAACGAATTCATCGGATCGAGATCATGGCATGCCGACAAAACAAACGACGCCCTAATAATGAGACTCAACCACAAACGCCATGGATCCGACCAAACAAACGCGCCCTAATTAAGAGACTCAACCACCAATATCTAACACGTAAATAACTAAGCATGAAATGTCGCAGGCACACAAGATATATAGATACAAAAGCATGCTCACCTTCTTTGAATCCCAACACTCGCAGCCTTGACTGTCCAAAAAGTCCACCACTGTATAAATAGCAATAACATGTAATCACTAAACAAGTGACTATCTTATTGTTACTGAAGCAAATAGCTGTTAACAAAAAACCTAAAAACAAGATAAATCAGGTCGTTGCCATGTGCTAACTATCTCGCAGGCTATTATCTAAACTCTACTGATATCAGTTTGATCGAATGCTTGTAAAATGTGCTCTTGAAAATACTAGTTTTTCTCATCAGAATATTAACAATGCTGGTTGACACTTCCCTACCTGAGTCACTGGGAGCTCCATGAACAGAAGCTTGATTTGCACAAAACAATAAAGAAATGATTGAGACAGTTACGAAACGATGTGTGAATGCATTTGTAAAAGTTCAAGAGCTCACTAACAATGTGTTAGTGTACACTACTCTTAATATGTTGTCACGTACTCAGCCTTGTTAGGCTTTATTGCTGTGACAGCATGTTAACAAATCATACACAAAACTAACATTAGGTTCAACACATGTGTAACATAATAGTTTTTCGTATAATTAGGCAGTCTACAGAGACATAAAGAGTCACTAGTGCCACGGGAATAACTATGTTAGATATACTAAAACCAATGGGTTGCAACTTGCAACTAAAAACTCTCGATCCCCTAGGTCATGTAATATTACCTCTAATATTACCTCTATGAACTTTCATGAATAGTACAGTGTAGTGTAGTGGCCCTAGGGGTAGCTGCTACGCGAATTATGTGCGCTTTGAATGCACGATTATTTTACGGGATCAGTTCTTGCTCCCGGTGGCAAAACGTGGCTGTGTTGCTTGGCAGCAGGAGACAAACAATGAGACGAATAAATACTAAACGCAAGTTCTTAAGTATACGGAACCGGTGGTTTTATTTATCGAATACACACTCCAGTTATGCAGTGTATAGCCTGTGGTTACCCGAGGCGTTACAAGTGTTCTGACTGCGTGACGTACTGTTAGTCGTAACTATAGTATATTATGGCATAAGGCCAGGGGTTACGTGTGAGAATATAGGGCTTCGGCGTAAACGCGAACACGACGTATCTATTGAGATCGCCTGGAGTGAGAATAAGAGGTAACGGCACCTGTCGTCGGCTCTCGGCGTTCTCTTCCCTCCTCTCTTCGTTCTTCTCGCGCTGCTTCTCGTTCCTTCTTCTTTCTTCTGTCGTCTCTCTTCTATCTTCTTTCTTCTGTCGTCTCTCTTCTATCTTCTTTCTTCTTTCTTCTGTCGTCTCTCTTCTATCTTCTTTCTTCGTTCTTCGTTCTTCTGTCTTCTTTCTTCTATCTTTTTTCTTCTGTCTTCTCTCTTCTATCTTCTTTCTTCTATCTTCTGTCGTCTCTCTTCTATCTTTTTCTTCTATCTTCGTCCGTCTTTCTTCTATATTCTCTCTTCTATCATCTTTCTTCTGTCTTCTATCTTATATCTTCTTTCTTCTATCTTCTTTCTTCTGTCTTCTCTCTTCTATCTTCTTTCTTCTATCTTCTGTCGTCTCTCTTCTATCTTCGTTCTTCTATCTTCGTTCGTCTTTCTTTTATCTTCTCTCTTCTATCTTCTTTCTTCTGTCTTCTATCTTATATCTTCTTTCTTCTATCTTCCTTCTTCTGTCTTCTCTCTTCTATCTTCTTTCTTCTGCCTTCTTTCTTCTATCTTCTGTCGTCTCTCTTCTATCTTCTTTCTTCTCTCTTCTTTCTTCTATCTTCTTTCTTCTTTCTTCTGTCTTCTCTCTTCTATCTTCTGTCTTCTCTCTTCTATCTTCTTTCTTCGTTCTCCTTTCTTCTCTCTTCTATCTTCTGTCTTCTCTCTTCTATCATCTTTCTTCTCTCTTCTATATTCTTTCTTCTGTCTTCTCTCTTCTATCTTCTTTCTTCTGTCGTCTTTTTTCTATCTCACTCCCCACTGTTCTCCTCGTCGTGTCTCCTGTCGAATGCTCCTCGTGGGACAGTGCTCCCTGCGCTCCTACTGGGTCAGTGCTCCCCGTATCGGTGCTCCTATTGATCGGTGTTCCTAGCGGTCAATGCTCCTAGCGGTCGGTGCTCCTAGCGGTCGGTGCTCCTAGCGGTCGGTGCTCCTAGCGGTCGGTGCTCCTAGCGATCGGTGCTCCTAGCGGTCAATGCTCCTAGCGGTCGGTGTTCCTAGCGGTCGGTGCTCCTAGCGGTCGGTGCTCCTAGCGGTCAATGCTCCTAGCGTTCGGTGCTTCTAGCGTTCGGTGCTAAGCACCGACCGCTAGGGCTAGCGGTCGGTGCTCCTAGCGGTCGGTGCTCCTAGCGGTCGGTGCTCCTAGCGTTCGGTGTTCCTAGCGGTCAGTGCTCCTAGCAGTCGGTGCTCCTATCGGTCAGTGCTCACCGGCCCACGGTTCTTGGTGCTCCTAGGGGCGGCTGCCCCGGCGTTCTGCTTTCTATGGCTTTTCGGCAGCCTTATATACGGCCTGGTTGCTACCTGGACATGTACGATTCCCCCCCCCCCTCCGCCTCCAGCTGGCATCGCTTTGGTGCGATAATCCCCGTGTGCTCTGCCTGATGATGTCGTTTGTTTACATGCTGATCCGCATTTAGACCTGTTGCGTCAGCTGAAACTGGCCGAGTAATTTTCCATTGGTATTCTATTTTAATTATCTTGTTATTTATCTCTTCATTATCATTTTAATCTGGACTTTACTACTGCTAGACTTTTCCCTTATTTCATTTTGTGTATTGACTTCTTAAGTGAAATTTGTGTGTACCCTGGTTTTCTGATCCAGGTTTTTAGTTATTCCAAAATGGCCACGCCCTGTAGTGTGTTGTGATTTGAAATAGAGTCTTCGGTGTAACCGAAATCTCTACAGTAGTACGGATCCTTTATCATCTCTGAGCAAGGATTCCGTATCTTTCCAAAATGTCAAGAGCAATAGATACCAACTTTATTCAGAGAAATTAACATGACAAGTCATGCACCACATTTAAACTAGAGAAATCTTCTGCTCCTCTGCACATGACATTCTAGGGAGAAATTTTGTGCTGGTAACTGATCATTACCAGTGACTGCTTGCCTGAGAACATGTGTGTTATGCCTCCAAATTTGAAATTTGTGAATATATATATACACACACATACTCACGCACACTCGCGCACATGCATGCACACACATGCACACACACACACACATACAGCATTCGAATTTGAACAAATTTGCCAAATTTTAACCTCTGAAAACAATTAATCTGTAAAATATCCAGCTAATCCGTAACATTTGCGGGTGGGTGGAATCCGGGCAGGTATAGCAGCAAAAAAGCTGGTACAATATAAGCTGTTTATTTGTAGTTGTTTTCTCTTTATTCATATGATACCAGCTATACTAGTACAAGATAGCATATATAATATAATATATGCATAGCTCTAAACATAATATTATATGCACACATATAAGAAAAGCAATATGAAGGGTTTACAACATATATGAATGCCTATGAACAGCAGCTAACCCACTGGCCAGCTACCAGAAATAAACAGACGAAATGCATACATGAAATGGAAATAATTCAATTTTATCATCAATCATTTTAAATTAACTTTTATTTTAAATCGAATAAAAACTGAGAGAGAGAGAGAGAGAGAGAGAGAGAGAGAGAGAGAGAGAGAGAGAGAGAGAGAGAGAGTAGAGAGTAGAGAGTAGAGAGAGAGA